CATGGAATTCATCACGAGTAATACTGAGACGATAATATCTTATAATCTTGAAACGAAGATATATGAGTTGTAATTTACAAAGTCGGTTATACATTGGTAATACGAAAACGCATCAGTAACTTGGTGTTATAAAACGTATTGTCATGTATAATTTGATGAGTAAAAGATACAAGCATATGAGTCAACGTTTATTCGTTCCTTTTGCCCTAACCGGAAAAGCGATACCTGTGGGCCCCTCGATGATTTGGTGTTGACTTATGTGCTGGGCCCAGCCAGGACTAAATTGATGTGTTCAATTAGAAGTCCTACATCATCACAAATCAAAAATCGGGAAACATAGATTCTGGACAAAGAGATTGATTACATTCCATGTCTTATGTCTAGGGATATCTAGCAGAATGAAGGATTATATGATCACTTATCTTAGGACACGTAACTGACTGGGTCAGAGTTCAGCAGCAGCTTTTGGAAGCTACAATTTGCTGGTCAAAATTTGAAGGCATACTAGCAATTATAGTTACAGACTTATCCAAGTGGGAGACTGTTTGATTAGGTGTCTAAGCCCATAACTATAATTGGTATGTACATGAATTGATAGCAGCACAATCCTTTTGGGTTGCCCTCAACCTAGCAACTGGACAAGGAAATTATGAAAGGAGAGATATTAATTTATAAGATTAATAAATTAATATAAATGATTTATTAATATGTTAAAAGATTAATATATTAATTAGAAATCATTATGTTTAATTAATAGTTAGCCAGAAATTAATCAGAATTAATTTTGGGGTTAAAAGAATTAATTATAAAGTGCAGGGACTAGTTTGCAATTAACTAATAGTTGAGTGGAAGGATCCAGAACCCCCTTGGAATGAGGTGGACGAAATTCATAGGGGAAACCCTAGAGATTTCGTCCAAGGGGTCCAGATAAGGCCCTTGGGTTTTGCTTAGGCCCTAAGCAAAGGATAACTAGGGTTTTCCCTAAACCCTAGATCCCTCAGCTATTTAAGGAGCCTCCTGGCTCACATTTGAGGTCACTGATTTCTTTGGAAGAAACCCTAAGGCCGAAATTGCATACTCTCTCCATCCTCTCTCCTACTACTTTCCTTCTTGCTAGTTCTTAGGTGTGATTCCATTAGAGGCATTACATTTGTGGTGCTAAGCTTCCAAGAAGAACAAGATCAAGATCAAGAGGATTATCAATTGTTTGCTATAACAATTGAAAGGTATGTAACTCCTAAACCCTAGTTTGTTAATTTCGAAATTAGCCTCTCTCCTCTAGGGTTCTTGTTTTGCAATTCAAAGTTGTATGTTCAATAGTTAAAACATAGATCCAAAGTAGGTTGCATGTGAACTTAGGAATTGTTTTCTAGTTTATTTGTTTTAACTAAAACCCATCACTCTTGATACATGAATCATCTGTGTCTCACATCTTTCAATATATATATATATATATATATATATATATATATATATATATATATATAGTAACTTGTGTCTCCTATGTGTCCTATTTGTACACACATAAAAAAATCTAGTTTATTTTGGGGATAATGACTTAAAAGGATAATATATTTTTCGATTTGTACACATTTAGTCACTGAGTTTTTTTCGTCCATATTTACCCTTTCAACTTGTTAAACTATACACATTCAGTCCTTATGACCGGCTACTCTAGGTTAGCCGAGAAAAATGACTTAATAGGGTAATATATTTCTTACTTTGCACAGATTTAGTGCTTGATATTTTTTTGCACAATTAGTCCTTAATATTTTTTTGTTGCAAAATACGTCATTTTAGTTTTTGTACTCATTCAGTACTTATGGCTGGTTTCTTTAGGTTTTTCTCACGACATCTTACGTGGGATAATCATTAATGAGGTGTTTGGGGTTGTTGATGTTTATGTCCATCGTGATCCCGACTGTTTGATTGCTTAGATCTTGTGGTTTGACTTAGGTCTTGTGTTCAGAACATAGTAACTTCTTCATACAATCTCAAATTTTAACAATATTTATATCCATGCGTTCGTATTTTAGTCTACTACAACTTTCATTTAGACTAATCCCGTTAAAAGTAATATATTTTTACTTACGATCTTTATATTCATACGTTTTTTATGAATGCATGTATGAATGTTTTTTCTTATAAAATTGTAAGTAAAAATATATTATATTTTTACAGGAATAATCTTAATAAAAGTTGTAGTAGACTCAAAAAACGAACACATGAATATAAAGATTGTTAAAATCCGATATCGTATGAACAAGTTACGATATTCAGAATGCAAGACCTAAGCCAAACCACAAGACCTAAGGAACTAAGCAGTCGAGATCGCAATGGACATAAGCATCAACAACCCCAAACACCTCATTAATGATTGTCTCACGTAAGATGTCGTGAGAAAAACCTAAATAAATCAGTCATAAGTACTGAATGAGTACAAAAACAAAAAAATGACTTATTTTGCAACAAAAAAAAATATTAAGGACTAAATGTGCAAAAAAATATTAAGGACTAAATGTGTACAAAGTGAGAAATATATTACCGTATTAAGTCATTTTTCCTGGCTAACCTGGAGTATCCAGTCATAAGGACTAAATGTGTACAATTTAACAAGTTGAAGGGGGTAAATATGGACGAAAAAAACTCAGTGATCAAATATATACAAATCAAAAAATATATTATCTTTTTAAGTCATTATCCCTTTATTTTGTGACTAATTGATGAGGGACACACTTAGTGATAACATATCACGGAGGTCAAACTTTTTCTTATTATTTTTGTTTCCTTCAGTTTTATTCATGGTTTTTTTAGCAGTGATCATTTTTGTTCGATAAATTAACAAAATCAATTGGATCTCCAATGAACCATGAAAATGTATAATCCCAGTTTTTTTATTAACTTCATTTACTTATATTTATGTATATCGTTTGTGTGTCATAAAAAGCTATCGACCAAAATGGAGTTATTGAAAAAACCTATTTACCAAACTAGTGTGGTTTTTAAAATATTTACCAAATTAGTATTATATTAAATTGAGTTTTAATATTGTTGTTTTTTTTAAAAGAAATATCTCTCATTCCTGTCGAGGACGTGAATAGAATCAAAGTAAATAAAATCAAAATTCATCACAAACTAGCTAGGGATCCACCGATATGCCTCACCACACCCGTTGTCGGCCACCTGCCGCCTTCCTCACTTGTCGGCCACCTAGTCGCTCTCCCTCAAAAGTTTTTATAAATGTTTTCTTCTTGTCATCTAATTTACATGTTGATTGTAAAATAATTTTATGCAATTGTATAAAAAGGTTTTCTCTAAATTGAGGATTTAAAAGAAATCATACAATTCCCATGAGATTGAAATTGTACAAAATGGTCATGAAATCAATTAGCATAAACCTACACATGGTCTATCTATTTTTTTTTGTTATTACAACTTGTTAGGAGCAGTTTTCTCCATTTTTTTGATTTTTATATTCTATTGACTCATTCTTTCCGTTCTTTTCTCTTTTCAATTTTTTATTGTTTTGGTTGCCATTATCTGTTTTTTTCTTGTTATCACAGCTTGTTAGGACCAGTTTTGATCAATTTTTGCTTGTTTTTTTTTTATCTTTTTGTAGTTGAATTCTATTACAGACATGATTCTGGATTTGTGATTTATGTACAATCTCTCAAGTTGATGTGACCAATGCGATGAATACAGACAATAAAGTTCAGCTAAATGAAGTGTTGGAAGATAGCATTGGAGATGAAGATGATGAAAAGGCATCTTTTGACAACAATGTTCAAGTACCTTCACCTTTTACTATTATGGAGGGAACAAATTTGACTAGTGATGACAATTGGAGTGTGTAACAATCAACGAGTAAGAATGATTTTACGCGAGAGTTGGGAAAAGATTCTTTCAAGTATAAAAAAAACTTGTTAGAGCAATCAAGATCCACAACATTAGGACACACAGACAATTTGAGGTCATTGACTAACAACTGTTTAGTGAGTTACTTCCAAATTTAGAACTATTATGGAATAAAAAAAGTCGTAATTGTTTAACAAGACTAAGAAATGGTATGGACATTAATGAATGAAGAAATGTCAACCTTTGTAGAATTTATAGGCAAACAGATCATAATCGAAAATGATGTCCATATAAGCTAAGGTAAATAAAAAGACATTACTTTTTATGGTTTTTTTTTTCTTGTGGCTATTCTCTTATTTTTGTTTTTTCTTTCTTTTTTGCAGGTAGGGATTTGCTACTAAATCAAGTTCAAGTTAATTGTGATGTTTTTTTAACGAACAATGTTTGAGTTTTTTTTACATTAAAAAACAATGTATTTGTAATGTTGGAGTTTTTGCACCTTAAAAAACATTTTACGTGTCACTACCAGAAAAGAATATAACGACGGACCAACAATGACATAAACCATTTTTATGACGGGCATACAAAGATGTATATTATGTAACATATCGTCATTTACGGCCATAAACTGAAATAAAAAAGAATGAGACCGATTCACTTTTATTTTTGTCTTGTCATTTTAAAATAATACGTCGTAGTCTTTTATTTTTTTTATTATTTCTTTTCCATACATATCCCATCTATCCGGTTCAAAACACTCCCTTCACGCACGCTCAAGCTTACAAAGCCTCATAGAAACGAAATTGAAGGGAGATCTCCACTCCTTCGTGTGTTGGCCTCAAGCAATCGACTCAATTACTCGCCGACTCGCCATTTTCACCGCCGGTCATGCCCTAATGAAATCGACCAGCGATTTAGGGTTTATAAGCTTGCTACTACATTGGTGTTGTGATCATTCATGTATTATGCATAAATGAACGAGTTTGATCAAACGTTACTGCTCAATTTTTGTATTTCATCGTCCAACTTGAAATAAACTCAACCATCAATGAATTGATTATCTATCTTAGATCTTTATTGAATTCTCTGATTATACTTGTTTCAATTCATCCACGATCATACCTAATTTCGAGCCTTATCTTTCAATGAGATGCTCTCATTTTGCAAATTTTGTTTATTTGCCAATTTTGTTGCATGATATACTTCTCCACGTTGTGGTTGTCATCAATGATGTTGTTTCAGTTGCTAGTTGTCAATTTGACTCCGAATCAGACACTGATGCTGATCTTGTTGCTGAAACTGTTGAGGAAGGAAGAGATAGTGGGGATCTCTTAGAACCTTGAAGTTTGGAATTTTAGTCCAGTTTCAGGTGTGGATACAGTCTGTGTATTCCCAAAGAACCCTTCAAAATGTAAGTTCACTTATCTTGTTTACTCATTACACAAAGCCAAACATATTCACATATACATTTCAACACTTGACAACATTTCTTTATACCACTCTTATTGTAGTGAAAACATTAATGTTGTACTTTTTATCTTTGTTTCTTCAGTGGTAATAGTAGGGAAAGAGACTGATTTATTAATTGGAATGAAAAATGAAGGTAACAACTATCTATTGTTTATCTGTGTTTTTGCTACCTTTTCACTTATTACATAGAAATTTCACACTGCTTGGTGAACAGGGGAACAAAGTGTGAATGTTTTTGCCATTAATGCCAATATTCATCTTCCTTATCATCATAAATCGGTGAAGAATCTCTCAGCTGTGGTAAATGAAATGTCTTTTATTGAAAGATAATCAATCTTAATAGTCATTAATAAAGCTGCTAAATTCCTTCTACTTTATCTATCTACTTATTGTCAGTCTTTCAACAATGCATCGACTCCTCTTCAGTTCAAGCTACTTTCCCTTACACATTTGCTGTCAGCAAATACTTACAGGTACATTTATCATTTCTATACATGTAATATTACACATTTATGTTTTTATTTTGACATGTGGATTATATAATGAATCTTTATTTTTGCAGGATGAGACATTTGATCTTGTTGGAATGATAGTTTATGAGGTAGACCAGCTGCCATACTAAAACATATTCTACAAGAGAAATTAAATATCCTCCTACTTTTCTTCCTACATATCCTCCTACCCATTTGAAATGATGACAAGTGTATTAAATTAATGATAATCTTATCCAAATATGACACATGTCACCATTTTACATGGGTAGGAACATAAGTAGGAAGAAAATATAGGAGGATATTTAATTTCTCATTCTACAATGGTACTATTAAATTCACTAAAGCTAGTAGGCTTGTTAGTGTTGAGATTTTATTGCTGATTTCTCTTGGATTTTCCCTTCTTATCCTTTTTGGATTATGGATTCGTGTTTATACAACCACAACTTAGAGAATCATATCATGTCCCCTTTGTCTCATCATAAGCTGTCTAATAAATGAAGTTATAGTTCTAGTTTATACAAATACATCATAATATTATAGAGAAAATAGTCAAAATTTTATCAAATCATTCTATGCTTTTTTCAAGCTATGATTTATAATCATAATGAAGCCCAAAGACATAGGCATGCAAGCTACCAGGTATGTTATTTGTTATGGTGAACTGAATGATGTAGAAACTTACTATGCTTCAAATCTGAATGATATCTTGTGAATTTGTGATGATTCAGGAAACAAAAAAATTCAGAGGGTGACAGGGAACCTGAAAGTTGCACGGGTGTTTAGAATATTTGTGGACCATCTCCACAATGATATAAATCATGTCCTTTCATGAGTGGTGGCATGGGAGCTGGAAAGAGCACAGTTCTTAAAAACATTCTTAAAGAGTAAGTCATTTATAATGCTTATTTGAAACTAAAATTACTTATTTTTCCATAAAGATTCATTTTTGTTGTCATTGTTATTACACTATAGACCATTTTGGGCAGGAGTGAAGATATTTTTTGGTTGTAAGGAATTAAAAGAAAGTAAATGCCTAAAATAGGAGTGATGACATCAATATAGAGCGTAAAAAAGAAGGTGATTCTGCATGCCAACATTTATTAAAGTTGGCATTTAAAATAATCACATACCAACAGTTTTTCATGAAAACGCAAGTGACCAATCCCATGGCATTTAAAACTCCCTGGTTCTAAGTTCCTCTTCATTGACTTTCTCATGAAGATGAAATTTGTCTTGTGCGTGACATGGGAAACATAATTACCAATGTTGATGGTATTTCACTACAATCGTTTGTTATAAAATATTTAGTTTCTAGTTTATTTGTAAATTCCATTTTTCATTTGTAGTAGATTTGTTGATGAAAAGTAGGTTAGATTATTAGGAATATGAGTTATTTCACTTGATATGATTTAATATTTTGGTATTACAGATCTTATTGAATGCAAGCTGCAGGAACCACCATCTTTGGGCTATTAGAATCCATTCTTGGAGAATGACTACTGAAATTTTTTTGTTCCACAAACACTTTCAAAGAAATTGCAGCTTTGTTAAAATGTTGTAACACAATTAACGCAATAAAATTTTAAGTTCAAACTTATTCATGTTAATGTTTTTAATGCAGGAAAAAAGTGATGGTTTTAAGAAAGTCTGTGCACATAATCAATACAATCACCGTTTGTTAAAATGTTGTAACACAATCAATGCAATAAAATTTTATGTTCAAACTTATTCATGTTAATGTTTTTAATGTAGGAAAAAAGTGATGGTTTTAAGAAATTTTGTGCACATAATCAATGCAATCACCGTTTGAGCAGAAAATGATATGTTCGGCTCAGTGTTAAGATTGTATGATTTAAGTTAATAGAGTAGCTTACTTGTTTTGTGTAACATTAATGAGAAAAGATTTTAGTTCACTTTTATTTTTCTTGATTTTTTTAGATGCAAGAAGAAGGAAAGTTGGAAGAGGAGATTGATAGATATTTGTTGTGGATGAGGGCGAGACAAATGAAAAAAATGAGGTTATCACCCAAATGTGCTGATTGTTCTCCATAAAATTGTAACATTCATTGAAAAAAACATAATTTACTTTTTTTTATCCCAAATGCAGGAAATAGAAATGTACTTTGCTATTTCTTGCATTTTAGGATTTGAAGTGTTGTAGAATTTCCATATATCTATATATATATATATATATATATATATATATATATATATATATATATATATATATATAAGTTAATTGATGAAGGACTTGAAGTGTTGTAGAATATTTACATATATATTTGTTTAATAGTTTTTTTTGCTAATATATTAATTTTTGTCTCAGTTTTTGGGGAAGAATGAATATACCAACGTCGAGCTTGATCGGGTGTGTGGAGAATGGGCTATGTATCTCACAACCTTTATTTACCGATAATATATATCTTGTTGAAAATATACGATCTGATTACCACGAATAAAGGCTCGGATACCAGTTACTGGGTGACAGATATATATATTTAAGGAGATAAGATGCAACAAAAAAATAAGAAGTGCGGAATAAATATAAACAGGAAAGCTATAAATGACTGAAAGTTATAAATGAAATAAATGACAGTATTTAAATGACGTAAAGCTGTAATAAAATATATAAATATATAAATATATATAAAGTCGGTTCGTCAATAAATTGACTGAACTGGTTAGAATTGGACTGGATCTTAATAGACCGTGTCTCTATTTATTAAAGTTCAATCCGGTAAGTAACAATAAGTTCTTTT